GTTATAATATTACGAGAAGAGGTCGTCGTCGCCGCCGCGCACGGGGCGCCAACTCGCATCGATGTCAATCCATGAAAAGTCTCGCCTCTGTCTCTCTCTCGCTCGCTCACTTGCACACTCGACGTTTTATTATATTAAATATTATACGCGCTCATGGCTTGCAGTAATTCATGCCGCGCGCTACAGACACACACACACATACGTTGACCGGTTGCCTTTACATAAGGAGGCTAATGAGAAAAGCCGCGCTAATTGAAATTTATGACGTACGCTTATACAAACGAAAAATCACCGAGCGCGCGCGTCGTTTGTCCTGGAAAAAATATAAGATATGCAATTTTCATTAGCCGCTGCTGCCACCACCGCCGCCACACTGCAGTACGAACTAATTACGATAAAATCGTCGCCTCTCTCTCTCTCTTCTCTCGATCCCTCTCTTTAGCACGGTTATTTTAATCGTCCTCACGACCGAAGCGATAAGGTCGAAATGGGAATGATGGAAAAAAGGAGAAGAAAAAAACCAGAAATACTTGTGTCGAGAGTGTATATAGTTTTTCTATACGGGGGCAAAAGTGACAGTTCCATTAGTGCGCAAACAATGGGACTGCGCAATTATTGCTATCGAGAGCAGCAGTGGCCTACGTATGTACTAGTAAGAGCGTCAGGATTCGTATCTCTCGAATGCATGTACGTATAAATTGATAGTTTACTGTGTGTGTGTAGCAAGCATCGCCTGCATGTCTGTTGTAGTAAATGTGCATGTGCACACACACACGCGCGTGTACGAGTCATAGTATTTACTCATCAAAGAGATGAAAGAAAAAAGAAGCAGCGCAAGTAGCTCGAATGATTTGTGCGAAGCAATCGCAGACGAGCGCAGACCGAGGCACAAGTATAACTCTACGCGGGCAATTAGCCTGACCACTGGCCGCGACGACGCGATACGTACTATATATCTATCTATGTAATATCCGAGTGCGTATTTGTATGTGCGTATGTCTATTTACATATACATATACAACACACGTACAGCACTGCACGCATGTGGATTGTGGCCCCGCATATCGCACACGCCTCGAGAGCAATAAGGACGTTTGAACGAACGAGCGAACGGAAAAAGGGACGTGCTCGATACGTCGCTCGCTCGCGTATAAACAATCGAAACGATCGAAGGAATTTTCGTAATAAAAGGAAAAAGTCCATCGAGCTCGTGCTGCTGCTGCTCCGTCGATGAATAATTTCGTGCGCGATGTTAACCGTGTTTAATGGAGATTACGGTTTCGAGGCTGGAGAAATAGGTATATACAAGCGCGCGCTGCAGTGCGGCTCACACACACACACACGAGTACTGATCGCACACATACTCGGAGCAAGTACGACGGGCAATTTAATGCCAGGCGCACGTGTCAGGGTTGCCTGCCGCCGCCGCAGAGCGTCTTTTATATAGCGAGAGCGGCGGCGCGAACTACTATGCCACTTCGCGCGCGAGCGAGTTGTGCATATTGCTGCTGCTGTGCAGTAGTATACCTGTAATGTGCGCCACAGCCACACGTGTGCGCGCGCCAACACACTTACACAGACATAGGCCACTTATTCATCGCATTGTGCATTTTGCAAATTATAAAAGCCGTGGGTGGAGCGGTTTGTTGTTGCTGTTGTTTTTTTTTTTTTTTTTTTTTTTTGTAGGCCAACTGTTGCACGTAACGCACTGCAGCTACGACTGCTGCGTCGTAGAGTATACACATAGGTATATCTAGGCGCTCGCGAACTCGGCTACGATCTACTTGTCGCGACGGACACGCGCGTATCGATCTATAATATATAATATATCGCGCGAGCGAGCTTGTAATTCGATCGGAATCGCTAAGGGCAAATAGGCACGAGCGCGCGCGCACGAGAAAGGGCGGCTGACGCGCCTCGACCAAGGTTGCGCTGCGTTGTAAGTCAAGCCGACGAGAGGACGTTTCGACCTCGCCGCTGCTGCTATACAGCTTTCTTTCTCTCGCGCATTCGACGTATTATACATGCGCACACCGCGGCGGTGGCCTATTCGATTCCATGTAGTATACGTATATTCCGCAGAAAGAGAAGGGGAGTCGGTCGGGAGCTTTCAAGCCCGTCCTCGTCCTCATCTTGTCAATCTCGCTGTTGCTGTTGCTGCTCTGGTAGTATATCGTATATGCTATGTACCAGCAGCCACTGCAACGGTACACTCCCTCTCGAGTCGCAGTATAATCACCGAATGGAACTGTTAAGGCGCCGAATGAGATGGAAAAAGTGATACGGTTCGCTACGCTTTGAAGCCAACGCGTCCTGCTGCTGCTGCTGCATGCTGTCATGAGCACATGTGGCTGCGTTAACGCTTTTTAGATGCGCGCAAAAGCCACTCCGACGCTCCGCGTTGTAATCCAGATCTGCAGCCTGCCAATTGTTCCTTAATTACAGAGCCTGCGCTGCTGCCGCTGCTAATGTGCTTTCATTACTTTCTCGAATTCGGCGCGTATTATTTGCCAATTTTTCTCAATTTGTGCGTATTTATAGCGAGTACTATATAGTTTTCCGCACGCGTGCGAGGGACTTTACGCGCTACCACGGAGCAACCCTCGCCTGATGCACGTGTGCAGCTTAACTTTGCAATGTGTGCGCTCGAAGGAATAAAAATAATCGACACTTTCGATTCATCGCCGATGCCTTTTTTCTTTTTTTTTTTTATACACATAGAATGGCGAAAGTTTTACTTGCGTAACAAATTACAGTCTAAATGGCGAGATGCAGCGCGCAAAAGCCACTACATACGTACACACGTACAAGTAGTGAAACTTTCGAAGGTGTCTATATATAAGCTAACGTAAGCTCGTGCGAGCGAGTGTATATAAAAATTGTACTCGCACACACAGACACACATACGCGCGAATACACAAGCATTGTATAACAGTAGCCGAGTCGAGCGCGCGAAACTTTCTCGCTCGAGCGTCGATTTGTTGCTCTACGAAAAAGTCCCTTAATTTTCTACTTTGAGCGCGCGAGCGATAGATTTACCGTACACGCGTGCGCACACAAGTCTGTATTTTCACTGCGCGCGCGGAAAAGTCGAAAATCTCTCGACTGCAAAAATGGTCGCGGGAGAGATAGCGATTTTCGCCGCGCATAATCACTTTCTATGTAGGCAGCCTGTTCTTATTACGTTATGTTAAGGAATATCACATGAACATGTGGCGGCGGCGGCGATTTCTATATTCGCAGCGAGCCGACTTTTTCTTTTTTGCAGCGGCATTTCGAAATTTTTTACTCGCACGATTCGTTATGAACGGAGCACATGCGGCTCGTTCATAATCGAGGGAAACACGCAAAATTTCGTCCTTCGCGCTTACTCGGAAACGGGGGTGTAGTAGATCCGAGCGTAGAGCGTGTGCAGCAGCTATTTATATCATTTCAAAGCGAGCCTGGTGCATCGGCAGCTGCAGCAGAAGCGGCAAAAGTTTTCTAATTTGCAGCTCGAAGGCGTGTAAATATAATATTGCGCGCAGCTTTTGCCACAGAGAGCAGCATACATCTCCATCTCTCTTTCTCTCTTTTCTCTCGTCCCTCGGGGGGCTCGAGCTCGCGCGCTCCGCAGCGAGAGTAAAACCGCTCTCGATCTACTTTTTTTTGCGCTCATTGTGAAATTCCTTTATCTTGCACCGTGATGCAGTCGAGACGGGAGCAGCGTGTGATTAAAATTTTTCATGGATATTTCCGAAGCGAGCTCGCGTTCCATCGACCAGGAGGACCATGGCGATGGCAGTATAGTAGCAGCAACAGCGCCCCTTAATCAAATACCATAGTTTATCGATTATTCATCAAAAGCACGAACATTTTTAAGGTGAAAATCTATGCTCACGGGCAGCAACCTGTGAACTTTTTGAAACTTGCGGTCCTACACAAATACAGATAGAATGCGGTGTGCGTGTAAATGTGTGTATGTGTCTATGTATGTGAGCGCGTTTACTATCTCGCTTGCTCGCTCGGTGCACAAGAGCGTTAACCCCGCTCAATACTCGTGCTGCTGCTGCTGGCGCTGCTCCGCGTCGTCGTCGTCCGCCTCACTCTCTCTCTCTCTCCCTGTGAACTCGACTGAACTGCTATTGCGAATCTAACCAACCCGCAAGCAACCAACCAGTTGCGAGCAGTGCGAGCTCACCTACGAGCCAGGCACCAGCCTCCAAAACGGCTCCGCCTCTCTCGGGGCTAGCCTCGGCTTTTATGTCTGCGTATCTGTATGTATGCGCAGCGCCGCTTACGTATGTGTGTGTGTGTATGTGCGCTCTTGCTCGTGTGCCTCCTACTACACTGCCAACACCACCGTCGTGCCAGCCAAGCTCTCTCGCTGTATTATACTCATTCAGCTATTGCAGCCTGCAAATACTTCGGCAACCCTCCGCTGCTGCGCGCTTATTATCATGATTATTATTTTTCAAAGCTCGGCACAGGCTGGCAGCTATGTGCTGCTGTACTGTGAGCGCGCCGCCGCCACTGCCACCGCCGATTCGGAATATTATACATACACAATCATTTTGTAGCTACATCCTATACCGAGCACTCAAGGTGACTCATTTATGTGCGAAAGAGAGAGGGTTTATATTATACCCTCGCAGATCGATCTACCTTGACGTACCGAGAGAGCGTATATATATCTTGAAACATGCACACTGCCGCGTGTAGCACATAATAATGAAATTCACTCGGTAAATACAATCGATTCCATATAGGCTGTGCATTTACAAGCATCTGTCACCTGCACGCACTCGCCGATTGATATGTATTTATTTAATGAATGTATATTCGTGCGTAAGTCGAGAAAATAACGAGGGATTTCGCGTGATTAACATTTTGCAGCAGGAGAGATTAAAGGTTTAAGTCGGAAACGTGATCTATATTGATGTGGAGGGAATCAATGTATGTACGCCGCATAGCGCCTGTCGGCCTTTTTTGTCACTGAATTAGTCAACTTTTCGCTCGTGTTCGTTTTATATTGTGTTTATTTTTCACGACTATTCGATTGAACGCAATCGAATTTACAGTTAATTAAAAGTCACATGTGTATACGATATCGCAGCAATGTAGCAAATAAAAAGTAAAATAAAATACAGTCCAATTATGTTGGCATCGCTTGTTATTACAAACATGTATGTGTACCCGTTTATGGAGAAAGTAAACGGTTTCCACGCTCTTTTTTCCGCCTTCTACTTATAAATTCGCCTCTTGATGCTTAGTGTTATTGTCATTAGGATAAAAATAAGCATGCGAAAAAAAACGCAGTGAAAAGATACTGTAGAAAACGGTGATTCGTTCGATTGATATTTTCATATAGGTGTAGCATTTGTTTGTGTGTGCATGCGAACCAGGGGGAGAGAGAGCGGAGAAACAAACTCCTACCTGCTTTCTACGTCGCGACAACGTCCAAGGTGAAATGCTCCTTGTTCGTTTTAATGCTTGTTTGTGTATACGTTTGCGTTTTTTTTCTTCCGTTGATTAATCAGAGTCAATACAGCTTTCTACGATTTTTAAGACGAAAATTTTCTTACGATTGACAAGCCGTGAAAATTCAATTTTCCAAGGGTGTGAAGAAATTCGATCTGTCTCAAGTTTCATACATCTGTAATGGTAATAGATCCAAACTTGTGTCAGATCGGAAAACATTCGTCTGCTTGGAAAATTCACAATAGCACAATACATTTTCATCACTCCAGATATAGGCTCCAAGTTCTTCCGCCAATTTCAATGATTACATTTTCTATGTCTTCTCCAGTTATATCAATTTCCATGGAAACTTCTTTTAACTGATCTTCATCTGCGTTTTTCGTTATTATGTCAACACTTACGGAATTAACATCTACTAAACCGTCACACGAAACGTTAATGGGTGTAGGTTCTTCGAGCAGTAATTTTATTTTGGAGAAGATTTTAATCCTTTGTGAATTCGAATCGCTTATCGTGTTAACTATTTGAAAATCTGGCTCAGATTCTGTAATTTTGTTAACATCAATTATTAATAGTTCTGGATCATCGCCATTACTTGCTTCTGTTCTGTCTGTAATTTTCTGATTCATCGAAGTTAGAGTTTGGCTTGTTTGAGTCGTAATAGAATTCGCATCCGAAAAATATTTAAGCTTAGTTTGTGAAGATTTGTTAATCGGAAATGTTCTAGGATTTATAGTTTGATTCGTTTGAGTCTCGACAGAAGTTTTAGAAATTCCACTATCATCAGATGGCATTGGTTTTCCATCGTCTTTTTCAGAAGTAATATTTGAAATTCCGTTAAACTGAGGTTGCGCTAGTTTTAAAGAGTTAGGAGGATAGATTATTTTCCTAAATTTGCGTTTTGGAGTCCGTTTTGGAGTCCGTTTTGTATCAGCAAAATCCTTAGTATTTTTTGAAGAGCGCTGTCCTCCTGATCTAAGAATATTACTTTTATCAAGTAATTTTCTTTCAGAAACTACTTTAACATCTGAATGAATTTTTTCAATTTCATTACTGTCAGGTGATGTCGATCTTGGAGAGTCAGTAGTCTCAGGTAAAGCAGAACTAATACTAAGCCTTATTTGATCTGTTAGCTCCTGAATATCATTCACGCAAGGAGTCGCCGATCTTGAAGCTTTACTAGTCTTCGATGAGTTAACCTTAATCATTGAGATTTCGTCTATTGGAATCTCGTCCACTTCTGATTCTGTTTCTTCATATTCGAGGATATCACTCGAAATCGGATAAATGAATTTTGAGTTGTAGCTATTACCAGATTCTTCTTCAGACGTTTTTCCTTTCGGAATTATTTCATCTTCCGATTCAGTTTCGGTAGATTCGTCACAATCAGAGGGTGGTTTTTCTTCTTCAGCAGTATACCACACCTTAGTTACTGGTATAAACATATTGCAGGACGGAACAGCATTGTGTTTCAAACGGCACATTATTTCGTCGTCTAAAAAGATAAATGAAGTCTCATTAAGATTTACGTGTGACAATAAGCAAACTAAAAAAATACAATACGGCTCACCAATATCGATATAATCATCTCTTCTAAAATGTAGTGAGCACACGAAAGTATTAGAGTCGACCTGATTGATTCGCAGTGCTCTTTTCCACACTTTATAAGTCCAGACAGTTTTTTTGATAAATGTTACAGGATTCACAACTTCAAAATTATAACTTTTTCTTGGAAATGGATGAAATTTTAAAGTTAAGTCGTCCTGAGAATTGCTTGTACATTCTTCGACACAACATTGTGCTCTGATTTCGGGCCATTCACGAGAGGGAAATCGTACTCCACCGAAATCCATGGTTTTTTCTTCAATATTGCGTTTCAATCAGATCAGATATGTGGAAAAGAATTATTTGATTTCATCGATCGCCGATCGCTTGGACTACTGTTCAGAATAAATATACGGAGCTTTTGTGAACCACTGACATGATTGTATACATTAGAGGGCGCTAAATATCCATGAATTACAAATCAATAAAAATTATATTATTGCTGTTCACGATTTGAATGCAAGTGTAGTCTTTACTGTGTATGCAACTTTTATGGGACATTCAAGGAATCACGATCTAAAAATTAAGCTCCCCATTAGGTTTTACGTAGCCGAGCTTAAATTTTAATATTACGTTAAGAAGTAAGTAGTCATTCTTAGATAAGTCGCGAATAAGAAATTCGTGATAGATGTTGGTCAAAATAAATATAAATAGTAGCAGGAAGAGATAGGTCAAATCATAAATAATAACAATACTTTTATAAAATGTGTGTAAATCATGAAAACTAGACCCTTGTTTTGTTTATTCGAAATTAAATAATTAAATCAACTCGTGAAAATATACGAGAAGTAAATAGAAGATCGTGAATCTACTTGAAATATCGTTGAAAAATAAATTGAAAAATTTGTGAGATTGATGAATTTAAGCGCTTAAATCGATTTCGTAGTTGATCATGCTTTAGTAAAATATAGGCCAAAAATAACGAAAAGCATTCTACCGAAACTTTATACATAACTAAAAACCAACATTAGAAACGATCGAGTATGTCATCAATGAGCTTTTACCCGAAGCAAAGTGTCAATGAAACATAAAACGCTACGCAATTATTTCGAAGAAATATTCTTTGGACCTTCGATGGTCGAGTTTATTTGAAACTGAAAAATTTCAATACATCGCGCGTTGTTGAAACACATCAAGGCGAGCTTGTATACAGGGCATTTAACGATTTAAAGTATACACACAATGTGCGTATGTATGTTAAACGTGCCCGTACTCGCAGTGCTTGTTTTTTTAACCTGGTTTTCTTTGTAAATTACTCTTGAAGCGCGAGAGAGTGAAAAAAGTACCTCGCGTACATATATGTATGCACGATGTATACTGCATTTGATATCTGTCATTGTTATCGCGCGCGTGGCTCGCTTGATATCGCATTTTTTCGCGCAGAATAAAATCGATTTTCACGTGCGGCTCGTCGACGCGCTTGTAAACGCGAACAAAAAAAATGCAACAATGCGAACATTATCAATCGCCCATCGCACCTACACACATGCGTTCAAATTTGTGCGAGTGTCTGTTTTAGGTATGTAATATATGTATAGGAACGGAGCAAGAGCCGCATGTAGCAGCTGCGACTTATCTATCGTAACCTACTCTACTGAAACAGTTTACGGACACTTCCTCATTATACGTGTAGCAGTGCACACGTAGAATCCGCGCCATAGGCTCTCTTTCACCCGCACGTGTTTTCTGCGCAGTGTAGGCTATCGAAGACGTCGTCGGCGCAGGACGCCTACATACCTTTCGCGAGAGAAACAGAGAGAGAGAGAGAGACACCTATACACGATCCTAAGCGACGATAATAATAATCTCATTTACATGAGCGCTTGGCGGCGGAGGTGACGATTAAAAACAATGAAACGATCGCGACGCATCGACATCACGCGCGCAGCGGCTGGGCTGTATACTCGTTATCTTGTCAGATAGATTCGCGGGGCTTATTTCCACGCGATGGCCCCTTCGACCTTAATGAGTCGTGCGAGCTCGATCGACTGTGTAGTCGAACGATAGGGAGGATGACGCTGCCGCCGCCTTTCGCAGCCCCTTGCACACAATCTCCGCACAACAACGCCTTAACGCGCGACGTCGTCGTCGACGTCGTTCGACAGTCTATTAATATACCTTCGGTCGTTTAGGGCGCGTCGAATTTTCTTCTCTGCTTCTTCTCAAAATTATGCTCGGCTAAGCAGTGGTTGTCTCGTCGTCGAGCAGCTGTATTTTAATGCATCGCGCCTCCGTTGCTGTGCGCGATCGTCGTCGCTCATGCGTCGTTGTGATTTTCATTTCGCAACAGCGCTATACGAAGAAACGTTGACGTTATACTAAATATTGCCACGAAATGTACGTGTCGTTCGAGTCCGCGATGATGCACCTCGCGCGTAAAACGAAGCGCGCTCGTAAAACATATTTTTTAAACTTCATTTGTAATTCAAACTCGGATCGCGCGCGGCCGATGCTTTCTAAGCTCCTCGATGCAATTGGAGCATGTTTTTCCACTCGTTCGAAGCTTCTCTTGCGCCTCTGAAATCTGCGGAAGGAACAATTACTCGTGCGGAGCCGCGAGGCTAAATAGTACATAATCGCGAGAGCCGCATCGCGGGCACACACGAGCAACAGCAGCAGCAGCAGCACATGGCTGTGCACGCGTGCGTACTTACTTTTTTTTTCTTGCTCGTGCAGGAGAGTTCAGACGCTCGGTCAATCTGATTAATCGGTCGATCGTCCGGCCCTGACCTAGCCACAGACGTATGCATATATGCACACACACACTCGCGCACACACGTACAGTCGTACATAGCAGAGAATATGACGCGACACTGTTTATAATATATATTATCAACCACTACGTGCGTTGTTGCAATCTATGTTTAGATATGCTTAGCATAGGCCGCGTGTGTATTTTTATAGCCGTGGCTCGCGCGCGCGTTATACGTACGAAGTCGTTTGAAACAGCATAATTACTTATAGGCTCTCTCTCGCGGATTGTTTCGGCACGTATGGCTGATTATTAATAGGCTTAAGGTGCGCACGGCGAAAGATATGTCAAGGAAATAAGCCGACCAACGTGTTTCTGCGGGCAAATAGATCGATTCGCCAAATTTCGTCACAGCGTTGGCGGCTCTACTGCTGCGGCAGCGGCGGCGAAATGTTTTCGAACCAGTGCGAAAGAGTAAAAACGAAAGAAAGAAACGCGACACACGCGGACGGGGTGAAATCGATACGCGAATAGAACGTACGCTATATAATGCCAACATATATCCGAAATAAACGTTCTCGAAGTGAAAGAGAGTGAGCGAAGGAGCTTATCCGAAAGATGGAGAGCAGCAGACTATGCGGCCTGGTTTCCAAGCTCCGAGCACTTGACTCGGTATATATTACATGTACACACACACACACACATACAGATGACTGAGACATGGCTTTTTACCTAAATCGCTGCTGCTTTTTTCTCTTCTTCTCTCTCTCTCTCTCCCTCGCGTGCTCCACTCGTTCTTATGTATTGTATAATATGCAGTACGCGCGCTGAAATATCTATTCTACTTGACATGCTACGTACAAAGCCGCTTTTTTGTACAATCACTCGGAGATCGGCAAGAAGTTATTTTTTCCTCGCGACCTTAACCCTGCTCCAGCTTGTTCTTTATAGCTCGGCCGGAACAGTGGGGCCAATTCACGAGTGCCTCGGCTTTTCGTCATATAATACTTATTATACATGTGAGACGTTCGAATAAGAGCAAAAAGACGCATCGAATGGGGAACGATATGTGGAAACGCGTGTGCCCGCGTATATATATTTTACGTAACTGCATTTAATACATCGGCGGCGAGAGAGAAGTAAGTGTGCGTCTGTGTGTGTGTGCTCTCGATATAACGAGAACGAGCTCGCGCGCTCGCTATTGCAGGTGACGGGTCAATGGTAGGCTATTTACCTACTTGTAGCTTAGAGTATGTGTGTGTGTGTGTGCTGTGCAGCATTGCTATACGTTCGACTTGTCCAGGCGCAGCAGCGCGCGGAGAGCCTTATCCTACACACAGAGCCAAGTGTATATAGTTATATATCGAGTTTACAATATAGAGTGTCTCGACCCACTTGTTTGCGCTGCCGATGCCGCCACCGCTGCCGCCGCAGCCGCAGCCGCGCGTACTGCACATTACAAGTTTTCAGTAATGGTACTGCACAGATCTGCCGCGCCATGCACGTGTGCGTAGGAGGTGTCAGAGAGAAAGACGAGGAGGCGCCGAGCACGATACGCACCAAAAATCGGACTTTTCAACGCCGCGCACAACCTCCTTTAAGTACTCGCTGCTGCTCGTGAGCCGTCCGATATATCTGCATATATATGTACGCGCACGGCACAAACGGATGCGTGTGCTAATTGACCTGTTGCCACGTCGAGTGTAACTCGAGTCGTTCGTCAAATCGAACGCCCGAGCAAATCGAGAACGCGCCAAAATTTGGCAGAAATTATACGTTCGACCCGCGCGCTCCACATTTTCTTGAGCTTGAAGCTCTTCGAGCTGTGTGCCGTATCCAAAATCGCGCGTCTATTCGATTTTTCGCAATCCATGGAAAGTTGTGTCCTCGTCTGTGCGAAATCCTCGCCGTCGACGCCGATTAACTCGAGTACTCCGCGGGCTTTTTTGAAAGTTATAAAAAGAAAAGTTACAAAACGCCTGAACTTTCGGGAGAAAGTCCCGACGAGAGAGCCAAGGGATGGACTCCAGCGGGACGAGAGAGAGCGCGCAAAAATCGCTCGTACACGCCGCCGCCGAGCTTTCGAAATTTATATTTGCATTTGCGTGTGGTGGGTGCACAGACACATCATCGAAATGCGCCGCGGCTGCACAAATCGAGTTATCTACGTCATCGAGCCGATCTAGTCGTTATGTTCTCTCCCTTTCTCGCTGCGCTAAACTAGTTTAATTAGAGAAATTCGGCGCCAAGGAAGAAGTAGACGAAGAAGAGGAACACGAAGAGTAGATATCTCTCTGCTGCGCCGTGTTTTGTGTTTTGTAGAGTGCGCCGTGCGAGAGTATATATGTACGCGAGTGTATATATATATAAATCAGGATAGCTCTCATTCGCGATGCGGAGTGTTGCGAGGCAAGTATGAGGGTTTTGGGGGCAGCAACGGCAGCCACGGCAGCAAATAACATCGTTGCCTGCTCGTTGCCACAATTATATGGCCTGGTATATACGTATATACTATATACACTCGTACTCATATATACTCTTATTTTTCCCGAGCTCCTCGTGAAATCGTCCGCGTTTATATATATACAGGTATACACGTTCGCGATTGCATGCACATCTGCTTTTGACCTTATCTACTTAAAGAGAGACAAATACTCTTTTCTCCCTCGAGTTTTTTTTTAACTCCTTTCTTTTACGACGTTTCAGCTTACGAGCTGCCTCAACAAAACGTCCGAAATTACCGTTGATAAGAGGTCGCGCGAAAGATGAGCTAGCGAACGCCAGAAGTGGGTTAAGTTTTTTTTTCTTTTACTTTTTTTTTTTAATTTTCTTTTCGTTTTTGTGACATACGGATTTATTCGTGTCGCCGAAGCTAGACTGCTGAAACCGAAACCTATATTT